ATTATTTTTTATATAACCAATAACAGTCTAACATATTAAAGGTTTTTATTTGTATTTAACCATTTTCAAAATCCGTGTAGCCAAAATCCAGCTGAAACAGCTGGAGTTAGAGGAAATCTAGTTTTAAAAACAAAGTCTATGTGTGAGTCGTTTAGTCTCGGTATAAATGCAGTTGTCCTTTGAAGGCCTCAGAGTGTTGTTAGAGAACCCTAGTGAGCAACCAGCATCATCAGGCCTAGGAGGAACATCTGGTGGGAAATGTATCACTATCTGTCACATGCAAAAGGGTTCTTTATATTGGATCACTGCAAGTAAGGCAATGAAGTTTGACACAGGCCTTATAGAGGCTATGACAAACAGTGAGGCATTTTGGTGAGATAATACCGTCATTTTCTTTTTTGGCCTTCATGCAAATATCTACGTGCTGAATACAAATACAAAAAATCTCTGAAAACCCTTTTAAGACATTTATTTGTATACACTGTGATCAGTAGGCTTTATGAAAACCTCTAAACCACAGCCTCACTCTTTTTTTTCCACTTTTGTGGAAAATATAACAATTTATATAAAATATAACAATTTTTTTTTCCAATTGCATACTACTTTTTTGTTGTCTTAGAATAAAATCTAAAATTGGGGAATAATTCTCACCCTAAGTTTTGTCCAGTAGCCTAATTATCATATTACCAAGTAAAAATAAAAAAGAGCAACTAAAATAGCATTACAGACATCCACCAATGGATGTCATTTATTAATTTATTTATTTTTATGTTTTGGGTCAGAAGGGTGCATTTTCTTAGGTTATTTGCAACAACAACAAAAAGTACTGTCCCAGGCATGACATTCAGGAAAATAGGTTGTCACAACTGTAGTTAAGGATGTAAGTCACAAAACTTAATTTAAATGAAAGTCTTAACATGTGCCAGGTGCCTCACTCATTAAAAGCTGATGTGGATTATCATCATACATCTCAGTCTCTGTTATTATTTAGCAGAAAGACTGATGATGTTATTCCATTTATTCAAGTGTTATATTAAGTATTTTTATATAATATTCAGCTTTTCTGCTATGCAAAGACATGTGTTGTAACACTGAATAACAAAGGTGCTCTCAGCTGGGTCGTCTTGGCAACAGTCCTCTTATGAACTTATAGTAAGCAGTGTCACCTTTGGTGTTCATCACTGACTAAAAGGGGTGTTGATAAAGAAATGGATGTGACATGATCTAAAATGTAAATCTACCTTACAGCAGGAATACAAAAAAAAAATTATTTTATAAAACTCTATTTTCATATCCTTAAGCAATCCTAGAGTGTTTGTTTTTTTTTTGACAGATTGGTGAATTCCAGCTTTTTATCTCACAGAAATATGTTAATGGACAGAAACGTGGTAGAAAAGAACAGTCGCACACATTTGCTGTGTTCCTGGTTTGCAGCAAACTACAAACCCACATTTCTTTATTTTTTATGCACAATTCAAAGTAAAAACAGAAACCTGAAATATTTTTTTTATATATTAAAACAGCTTTGAAGCAGATCAGTAAGAGTAATCACTGAGCACATTATATCAGGATTATCTATCATCATGCTCCACATCATGTCTTCGATGTGGCTAAAACTTCTTTAGCAGAACTGCTGGACACTTTCAGATTATAGCCAATTGGATTATTACCACTTTATAGCCAATTGGATTATTACCACTAATCCAATTAAACCTCTGCTTTAATCTGCGTTTAAACTGTCTGATGTTCAGGATGACCCATTAGAGGTAGTAAATACTCAGTGATTATTACAGAACTTATTTTGGATGATAGATAATATGAAAAGGTACATAACAGAAAGTTAACTTTATGGCTTTTTAAGGCCTTCCAGTGGACACAAGTGACTAGATTTTCAGAGAGCAGGTTGGCGGCATGTTGTACGCACAGCTTAGCATCAAAGTTAAAATAGAAGAGATATAAATTAATGATGCATAACTAAACATGCCTGTGCAAACACACAGATATTCGGACTGATTAAGGCCTTTTTGTCAGAATAAAAACATGTTTGAAGGATGGTCTTTGCCTGGCCCTTTGTTTGCACTAACGTTGCTTGTAAAGGGCAAGCATAACTTTGCAACGCTGCTTGCCTCTAAATTAAAGGGAAGATAAATGGCGAACTTTAGGAGAGATGACCTTTTAAGGCTCAGTACTCATGTTTAAGAAAATGAGGTATGTGCAATTCTTCTTCTTCTTCGTTTTTTATGTGGTTGGCAAGCAACTTATTGATGTGCATTACGGGCATCTAATGGAATGGAGTGTAGATCGGGATGCTATATATAAATTCTCCCACAAAACAAAACAAAAAAATAAATAAATAAAATAAAATAAAATTATAATAATTAAGATAATAAATCTATTCTTTCTATCAATTTTGCTTTCTTAAGGTAATTCATTAAATAAAAAACATTTAGAGGTAGAAAGTTTGTCAAAAATATCTTGTATATTTAATTGCAATTTATTTTCTTGTAATCGACTAACTAATTCCCTTCTCTCAACAGAATACTTAGAACACACTAACAAAACATGTTTTACTGTCTCTTCTTGAAAACAAAAATCCCATTTCCTGCTGGATGTTTTCCCACTTTAAATAATGTACTATTTAACCTTGTATGATCAAAACGTAATCTGATATAATAGTTTCGTCTTTTCTATTTTTTCCTGTTCTTCTCATTGTGCCAACTTTTCTTTGAATACTGTAAAGTTCCAGTTCTATCCTCTTCCCACTGCTTTTGCCATCTTTCCTGAACCCTTTGTTTAATAATAGATTTAATTTCTTCTTTACTCAGTGGTATCATTATATCAATGTAACTATTTTCTGTAGCTTGTATGTGCAATTCTTCTTCTTCTTCTTTGATTTATTGGCGATTGACAACAAACATTTAATAGCATTACCGCCACTTATGGAGTGTGGTTGGTGATGGACTATCTACTAATAAACATATAAATAATTTCTAATGAAAAAAAAACAAAAAAAACAACATACCTATACATAACTTTGTATTCTACTCGTCTATATCATACACAAATTCACCATCTGTATTATCAAATTCTATTAAATAATTTTGTTTTCTTTATAAATCGAATAATTATTTGTATACGTTTACTCCCCAAATTCTTCCTCAGAATATCTAATAAATTAATCTTTTCCTTAATACATTCAAACTCTCTCCTCATACATCTTCTCTCGCTTTCATATCTATGACATTCCAGTATAACATGTTCTACTGTTTCATATTTACCACTTTTGAATTTTGAAAAGTGTATAATTAAGTACTGTATGCCCAAATCTTAACCTTGTTATCACTCTCTCCTCCTTCCATAGACTTGGAAAGTCTACGGAAGAGGATTAGGGCCACTGAAAAAATTAAACAAGTGAACTGATTATTAAATTTTATTTCAGTATAAAATTTAAAAATCAGTTCACTTTTTTAATTAGATGCATTTTATTTCAGTATAACATGAGAAAAAAGTCAGAATTCTGAGAAAAAAAGTCAGAATTCTGACTTTAATCTTAGAATTCTGATATTTTCTCAGAATTCTGTCTTTTATTTCAGAATTGTGACTTTTTTCTCAAAATTCTAACGAGAGGCGCGGCCAGGCAATAACTAAGTATACTTAGGGGTGACCGAAAGCAGATCGGCACCAGAACCTCAGGGTCAATCTACACTATTGCAACAGGAACAAGAACAACGTCCCCATTTCTAAATAAAGACAAACTATAGTTTAATACGGCCTTTGCTAACAAATAGATGCATATATTTAAACATCCATCAAGATCAAAGGTATATAGGATAAATTCTTTGAGGTTTGAGTTCTGGAGCGAACATCGTTTCCATCATCATTACTTACCTACTTTTATCAATATCATTCTACATTAAATTGATATTTACAAGTACTACTATCTACATAAATTGATAACTTAATAGGTTTTTAGTAAAATAATTATTTACAGTATCTATGATTTCACTGAAGACTCTTAGATGACTTACACATTATTTTCTCTTTATGGCATATAACACAAAATCTACTTCTGAAAGAGTATGAATTCTGTACTAATTATCTCTAATGTTGGCATATTGATGTGGACAATTAGTCACAGTGTTTTAGTTGTCAAGTAATTGTTAATATATATAAAATAAAATTGTTTTGAATACTCTACTTGAGAGAAAAAAAATGTTAGGGGAGACCACAGGGTTGGCTAATGATTGGCTATGATTGGTAACCATGGCCGCCCCTGGCCCCCCATCTAGCTCCGCCCCTGATTCTGACTTTTTTTTTCTGAGAAGTCTGATTTTTTTCTCAGAATGCTGACGACTAACAAACATGTTAGCATCAAGCTGTAGCCATGTCTGTTTTAGAGACAAGCTCTCTTATTTTTATCACCGCTCGGACACGTAAAAAGTCGCCTAATTTTGTCATTTTCCACCAATGTGTTACTGGAACTCCCAAACAACTCACACCTTTGTCAGTAAAGCTGAGTGCTCCTACATCTTCCTTCATGGTGCCCATCTACATTTAGATCCAAAATTCTGAGATTAAAGTCAGAATTCTGAGAAAAAAATCAGAATTTTGAGATTAAAGTCAGAATTCTGAGATTAAAGTCAGATTTCTGAGAAAAAAACCCTCAGAATTCTGAGATTAAAGTCAGATTTCTGAGAAAAAAACTCAGAATTCTGAGATTAGTCAGAATTCTGAGAAAAAAAAGTAAGAATTCTGAGATTAAAGTCAGAATTCAAGTCAGAATTCTGAGATTAAAGTCAAAATTCTGAGATTAAAGTCAGATTTCTGACTTTTCCCCCATATTAAACTTAAATAATATTTAAAAATCAGTTAACTTTTTTTCAGTGGACCTACAATTCAGTCGTTTTGTTCTCTAAAATACAAAACATTTAATTGTGGCCTCAGTGACCTCTGACCCAGCGGTGTTGAAGCAACCGGAAATAGAAAAACAAGTAAAAGTGATGACGATTTGACTCCACCTCATGATGCCATTTAGCAACAGATGAGCAACGTTGAATGTTCATTTCTTGCAGCCCCACTGTCCAAGCTTTGACTTTAAACTTGCGCATAAACGGGACTAATTTCCGGTTGTGTAATGTTTACCGGGGTGCGCCCCTTCACCCTTTTCGGATCGTAGCCTGTCGGATTCCTCCATCCGACCCGCGAGCTGCTTTCTGCTGGCCGCGAGCCTCTCCGGTGCATCGCTATGGATGTGGTGTGGATGCTGCCGCTGCTGCTGCTGCTGCTGCTGCTGCTGCTGTTTCCACTCCTGATGTGGACCAGCAGCACGTTCCTTTTTTATTTCAAAAAGTTCTTCTATGTGGCCTGGATGATGTTATTGGCCCTGCTGGGGATTCCCGTGTGTTTATTGAAAAGCGGAGGTAGAGACGTGGAGAACATGAGGTGAGTTGGAAATGTCTGACAGCTAGCCTGCGTTAGCTTAGCTAGCCCGTTTAGCAGCAGTTGGAGATATGAAACACTTTCAGCTCGCGGCGCTCTTATTTTGCCTAAAAGTTTTGTGGAAATATGAAATTGGTCACATTTTACCAAAAGGGAGGAGTCTGGGATTATAAAGACGCTTAACTTTTCGGTCGGAGAAGGAAACAAAAATTAAAGTCTGTGTATTTTTGTATTATATTTTTATTAAACATATGCTATATTAGCTCGGTTGACATAATGTGTGACCGTTAGCGGGCGAAGCTAACTCAGGCATGTCTGACAGGAATACTTTTCTGTTTATTCTCACAACAACAATCTCAGTCAGCTGTCTTGATACCTAAACAAAAGTTTGGAAAGCAAACTTTGTTTCCCTAAACAGTATCCTAGAAAGAAGATCTGGAACGCCGATATTTTACTGAAGCAGTGTTGCAATGTCAGGAATGTAGGATTATCGTACTAAAGACACATTTATAATGTTTTGGGGAAAGTTGTAAAATCTTCATAACTAAAACAACAAATCTATAGTTATTCTAGTGTTTAATAATTCAATGAATTCATCAGCAGACCCACAGCTGCATTATTGTAATGTGTTCTCCATAAACAATCCTTAAACAAACAATCCTTATTACAAAAACTGGAGATTTGTATATTAAAAAAAAAAGACAAAAAACAAAACACTAATCTCCTTTGAACAATGTTTTTATGTAGACTCCTTTGTTCTCCTATTTTTTTTCTTTCTCAAACTTCAGATTTCACAGTTATGCATCAATATATGTATATTAGGAGTGCTACTAATGATTCATTTGCAAATCGATTGATTTGTCCATTATTATTTAGATTAATTGGTCGGAAAGCAAAGGTCCCTTAAAGAAGACTTTTTAAGAAATTAAACCAGGTGAAACTCAAGCCTTTCCATTGGAGCAGTTCTGGCTGGAGCATATTGGCAGATGAAAACATTTATCTTAAATGCAAAATGTTTACATATATTTTTTTAACAACTTTGGTAGAATTTTTGCTCTCAGTGGGTTAATCTGTCAGCAAAAAACATGTTTTAGAGTCTCTATACTCCAGCAAAAAATTTATTGATTACTAAATTAGTTGACAGTTATTTTAAGAATTGATCAATCACGATTAATTATATATATATATATATATATATATATATATATATATATATATATATATATATATATATATATATATATATATATGGGCACCGTATTTCATAGTGTATGTGTGACCAATGAAAAGCCACTGAGAGCTGGCCTGACAATTGTGTCAAAGTGGATGCTGGCTTGACATCAGTGATATCCTACTTTAATTCTGCACATACTGAATATTATCTCACATATTATGCGTGCTTTAATAACTGATAACATTTTTTCGTAGCCTTTTCAGTTTCAAAATCGGATTATTTAAAGCCCCTGCATATGGTATAGATAATTTAATGTAGAGCAGCGCAATCCATCATGTCAATAAAAGCATGGCCAATCTGAAGTGACTGCTCCTCCCAATCGTTGGGGAGCTATTTTGTTGAAAGCATCATGAATGCATTGCATACTAATGTATGTAGTTATTTAGATGGACTTTTAATGTCCTTGATTTTCACACCTTTTTTTTTTTTTAATGCTCTCCTACTGATTCAGATATCTCCTTGATAATAACAGTTAAGCATTAAGGATATGTCTCAATAACATTATTTTGGGGTAAAGGGGGACACTTTACAGAAGTTGCTCTCAAATAAATTTATACCAAAGATAAAATCCTTTGTGCTTAAGCTTTAGCATTTTGTGTGAACAACATTCTCAATGTGCTTTCTTTAGAAAATAAATAAAATTAGTTTAACAGACATCTGCAAAACACTGGGGTTTAGAGATCCAGGGGAGAAGCTCAGAAAGATAAACCTGCTCTTACACTTCCTGGTTTCTTATGGAGTAGGCTCTGGTCAGTTTATCATTTTGTCATTTGGAAAGTTTTTTTTACCCCATTTTAACTCACATTAAAGTCTAACCTTTTGTAGTGATCTGAAATAACAGGTGACAGGCCACTTTTTCTGACTTGTTTCCCCAGACTTTCCCTTTAAACGCTTGACTAAAAGTGAAAATCAAGAACTTTTATTCTAATCTGCTTTTATCATTTTCACAGTGAGAGGTTTTGTAGGACACTGGTAGTGCTTGGGTAGGATGTTTTTTACTGGTTGGAAAATGATTATATTTAGTATTTTCTTTCGTTGACCAGTAAAGTTGAAAATAATAACATTTTAATTATCGTCTCCCATGCACATAGTGGTGACTGCATATTTTTTATTCAATGGTTTACTATATTTAAAGACAGAAATTTGACTTTATTTCATGTTGAAACATCAGTTGCCAGACAAATTGAATTAGCTTTTTCATGTGTGCCCTTTCTTGAAACCAGAGAATCCCCCAAAGCCCCATTTTGGTTCTCCTCCTGAATTTGTGGAAGGGTGCTAACAATAGCCTGCCTTGCTTTCATCAAGCCATTCTCTATTCCACCAAAAGAAGGGTTTCCAACACTCAGGAACTTAAATCCAAGAAGCCAGGAAGCTTTGCTGTTGTGTAACTTTTTTACCTTTAGTGTATTTGACCAGGAAGCAATGGTAAATCAACCTCTGAACCCTCGTGAGGTGAAAGTAGGGTATGAAACAAAGTCTAAATGAGCTCTGTTTCATTTTTTTTTCTCCTGAAAATGATTAGACATAAATATAAAGACAGCGATGACTCTTTTAAATGTCTTACTTTTTGCCAGCTGCATGTCTGCATTTAGAATCCATATATTCAGAAGCACATGATGTACAGACTCAAAGTGAAGCACAGTGGAAGGAATCGGTTCATTTATTCTTGGAGAACAAAGTGTTTAGGTCAACTGTTGGGGGCTGGCTTACTGTTGTTAAGCATTTGTCTGCAGGGATGGACTGCTGCACACAAGCCAGTAATTACCTTGAAGACAGATGCCAGATGGCAAATTTCCTCTAATTAAATATGGGTTAGTGAATAGTTATGAGGCTGATTCTGCTCCTAACCTCATTGGGTTCTGATGTGCTGACAGCAGACCCTAAGGGCCTTTCTCAGTCGGTGGTGGAAACACCTTTAACCATTATTTCACACCGGCTATATAAATATCTGTCTTTAAGTTGTAATTGTTTTGACAAGTTATGGCATAAATTAAGTCCTAACTGAAAACTTAAAAAAAAAATGTGGGACTAATGAAATATCTTCCCTGATCTATTAAAGCAGCATTGATATTATAATTTATCATTACAGGGAACAACACTTTAACTCAACAGCACGCAATTAGTCACTTGTTGATGCAGCAGTATTAAGGCTTATGCCCTAACAAGACTTGAAAAAATACAGGGGAACATTGAAATATTTTTGTAAAAGAAATATCCACATATTTTATACTAAAACTGTTAAGACAATTGAAAAAAACAAACAAAAAAAAAACTGCTGCAATAATATGATGCAGAGGACTTCAGGGGGTCCACGGAGGTACTGTATGGGGATCGTGAAAGTTTTTTTTTTTTTTTATATATATATATATATTCATCCCTGCACTTTTTTTCCACTAATTGAAATGTCTTTAAATTAGGGCTGCAACTACCGATTATTTTAAAAATCGATGAATCGGCCGATTATTTTTTCGATTAATCGATGAATCGATGGACAAAAAAAATTTTTTTATATTAACCTCTTTATTCCAAAATAAACATTTTAGACAGAACAAACAAGCACACAAGTACAGGTTGCTCATTAACTGTACTGGTGCAATATGAAAAATAAATGTTTGTGTAAAAACTACGCAAACTTACATGAGAAATGTAGCTGTACATCCACAAAATATAGGCTACTTTCGTTCATAAAGCGCAAAAAGAGACAGGCATTTTTGTTTTTTAAAGCCCCTAAGGGGTTCAACAATAGGTCCCCCCATTTCAAGAAATGAGGTTTTTTTAGACTAGAAGAGTTCTGCCTTTTAAGACAGCAAAAGTATAGCAGTTAAAGTTGCTGCTTGAGAAAATACTGAACCATAGAGATAAAAATAGCCCTGTGATTCAAATTATAAATTGTATTTGGAATAAAAATGAGAGAACTAGGGGTGGTAAAAAAACACATCCTCCAAAGACAGATATTTACATTGGAATGTGGCAGATAATTAATTGACATATTACTGATCTTGCTGGATTTTGTTCTGCTTTACTTCCATAAATTGCAGGATCTTCTTTTCTTTATCTTTGCCAGAAGATTTAAACTTTAAAAGCCTTGCCCTCATAATTTGCAAGTTAATTTATTTATAAAGAAAATATAAACACTGCTTAAACAAATGTAAATGAAATTAAAAGTAAAATAAGTAGCCAACCTTATCCCTGTCTGTAACCTACTAACAAGGTAAGGAAAGCATCAGATGAGCTACCTGAGAAACTAACGTTACGTTTCCCCACTTTAAAACCAAACAAACATGGTTACTCATCCTGCTGATCAGCTATCTTCACTGCCATTGAAGGCTCCAAAGTGTTTTCTTTTCAGGTGCTGCGTCATAACAGTGGTGCTTCTGTGCCATGTTAATTTCTTTTGAAAAAAGTTGCATGTTATCACTTTTTTCACTTTACAAAGCGCAGGCTATTTTAATTATTGTGATCAATTTGCGCCGTCAATCCCGGCGCATGCGCGCTTCATTTGTAGTCTGGACGCTGAGGGTAAACTCCTCACTAAAATCCTGCGGCTCTGACTGCCGCGCTGAGAGGGATTCCTGTGGGAGAGGGAGAAAGGCGTTGGGATGGGGGAGGCGCCCCACGGCAGGCAAAAGCCGCCAGTGACACCGTAAAAAGTCGCCAGATTTGTCGCTTGTCGCTTTTTTGAAAAATAGTCGCTGGAGGGGTCTGAAAAGTCGCTGAGTTGGCAACACTGCAACTGCGGCGCTGACTCGCTCCGCCATATTTTTTTTTC